GCAAGATATAATTACAGGACTCCTCCACCCTCCTGCATAGAAAACAGTCATTCACCATGTTCTTTCCTCCTCATTAACTTGTCAATAGTGAGAATATATCTCGACCCTGCCTCCTAAGCAAATAAAGCAACTTTAAAAGGAGCATTCACCTTCCAGATTTGCCGGAAAGGAAAGCGGTCTCAATGGAATGATTCTTGACTAAACAGTAATACAAAGACCTAACTGTAAATGCTCTCGCAGAGTTGAAAATCATTATTGGTTGGTCATTACTCCCGTTCAGAGAAGCTAATAATAGTGAACTGAGGAGGAACTCTTACTCATTAATTTTTTAATCATTAAGGTTTCTCACCACCTCCATATGCCACTCTCTTTGTCCGTCAATGTCTCTCAATGACTCATAGGCAGAGATGTTCTTGTGTTGTACAATAGCAACGATTTTGGGAAACTGATCTCTAAGCACTCCCCCTCTTAGCCAAGAGTCCATCCTGAAATTTATCCCTTCCCATGCATATTTTTTTTCCACATCCTCCTCCCATGCAGTCTGAAAAGTTTTTAAAAGTTTTCTGGAGTACCATCCTCTATCTGCAGTACCAAAGTTCGCCTCTATTAGCTTCCGCCATAGAGTGTCATTTTCTTTCATGAATTGCCAGAGCCACTTGCCCTCCAGCGTCAAGTTTATCTCTACAAAAGATCTCAACCCCAACCCACCCTGATCAATTGGTTTTTTAATCTCATCTCACACCACCAAATGATGTTTTCTCCTATCCTTAAGAGTCCCCTCAAAGTCACTGAATTTATTCCAATCTCTTAGCAACACTTATTGGAATTATCAAAAGGGACATGCAATAAATGAGAAGTTTGACCAATGTACTTTTAATGAGTGTGAGTTGTCCACCTTTGGACAAAAGATTTCTCTTCCACCTCACCAGTGTCATCTCAAAGGTTGCTATGATAGAGTCCTACATCCTTACATCTTTGTGATTAGCACTCAAGGGCATACCCGAGCATTTAATTGGCAACTCCACCCTTTTGCATCCCAAGACCTTAGCCAATCTAGTAGCATCGCTCCCATCCTCCAATGTCACTAATTCAAACTTAGTTAAGTTGACATTGAGACCAGAAATCACTTGGAAACACAATAGAACACATCCAAGATTGAGTAGGGGCTCTTCATCCGGTTCATAAAACACTAAGGTGTCATCCGCAAAAGATGAGTTACCTCCTCCATATGCTCACCCATACCCACTTTTAGTCATCTAAACAACTCCAATTCCTTGGCCCTTAATAGCAATTTATTCAAAGTTTCCATGTTAATAATAAAAAATAGTGGAAATAATGAATCCCCTTGTCTAAGACCTTTGGAGGCCTTGAGAAAAGAAGATGAACCCCCATTCACCATGACCGGAAAAAATGTTATAATACAGGAGTTAATCTACTTACACCATTTATCTCAAGCTCATTCTCTTCAGCATTTATTCAATAAATCCCCAATTAACATGATCATAGATTTTCTCCATATCAAGTTTGCAAAGAACCTCTTCCCTATACCGAAATAGCAAATCATCCACATCCTCATTCTAGTACTGCACACATAATATGTCTTCCTTCTACAAAAGTATATCGACACTCGCCTACAACTTTATCCATCACCTTAGCTATTCTTCTGGCTATCACCTTCTCTCTGAGCTTGTAGATGCACCCGTCTAACTTAATAGGTCTAAAGTCCTTGATATTAGCTGCCCCCTCCACCTAAGTGATGAATACCACGAAAAAAGGAATTTGAGGAAATTTATTCAAATATATTCTATTCCTCAATTCCTATATCTTAATAATTTAATATTTAAGATTTTCATAATTTATATATTTGACGAATAATTAAATTAATTTCTTACATATCTTTAATTCCATAGTGATAAATTTATATTCTACTTGTCAACAGAAGAATCACATAAACACTTGACTTGAATTGGACATGAATTTAACTTAAAATTATAATTTGTTTTGATTCAAATTTATATCAATTTGTGTTGTCTTTATATCCTTATTCAATGACAATTAAAATTTAAAACATACTCAACCTAACTGAATTATGTAAATTAACTACCTGGCAAGCCACAAGTGTTAAATTTCCGGACCCAAAGAAACTGCTAGTTAGAATTTTAAACCGCAGAATGTAACTAAAATTTTCTCTACATTTTATGAAAAAGAACATGCACTTATAATATTGAGATATGAGAAGGAAAGAACCTGGATGTAGTTGCTTTTGAGAGCCGAGAATGATCTTCGTCAGAATTAGCTGCAAGTTTCCTCTCCTTCCGTTCCTTGATCTGCATTGCCATAGATTAAAGGAAAACACCTCAGAAGTTAAACCTTGAAAATATTGCACTCTGAAAAATATATTTTGACAAACCTTTCGTATGTTGGTAAGTAATTTCATGTGTTCTTCAGGCATCACGGCCCTAACAGCATCCAGGCCACATTTTCGGATAAGCATTTCCAAAAGAAGCTTGACCTGCCATTAGTAGAAAATTAACAGATAAGAATTCTTTTACAAAGACACACATGTAAGATGAGGATTTTGATCACTCTATAAATTCCAGCAATCTTCCAACAAAGCAAATATCAAGTATTCAATCAGTGGGAATATTATTGATGTAGGAAGAGAGCTTGAACACAATCTTTAAAAGTGAGACTTTAAAAAGAACCAAAGAGAGACCCATGACTCAATAATCAAAATATCTTGTTTTAAAAATAACAATAATAAAAATATCTCAAAGTTTATGCAATAATCATATGAATATTTTAAATAACAACTGGATTAGGGTACTTTATTTATAAGCATAAAATAAGAAAACTTGAACTCTACCTGTAAAATAAGCTAGAAAGAAAATAAATAAAAGAACTAGTAATAGGAATTAAATTAGTTCCAACTAAATAAGAAATAACAAAGTCTACCAATAATAAGCCATAGAGAGTTCCTAAATAAGCTATTACCCTTAATAACACATAATTATAATTACATAAATATCTCTTAATATTTAAATATATTGAAGTTAGGATCTTCTTGTTCTACATCACTGTATCCCACTTGGTAAATAATCAAAACTACGAACTAATGACTAAGTATAAAAAACGTGAAAACTCGAATACCCCTTTGGATCAGAGAAACCCACAAAATATGACATCTGTTTGAGGAAACAAAGATTTTGTCGTAAGTGTAGGCATGTAAGCAAGACAAAATCCAGATAAGGAAGAATAACCAAAGTCTGATTATTAGTATTAGTGGCTAAAAGAATTTTGGTTCTCTTTCCACGTAGGCATCTTTCATCTTCATGGAGTTCAAATCAACTAACAAATAATCGTCCTCAACATGATTGCTCCCTACTAAATCAGTAAATCTAACATTAGGCAATACAGTAGAAATCAGAATGTGTAGTCTCTTTTATAAGCTCAGTTACCTCGTCTTCTTCCATACTTCCAAGATTAGTACTTAATTCTTGACCATAAGTCGTAGAGCTTTCACGTTGCTTTGCTCCCTCTCTAATTCATGTTCTTTCATATCGTTTACCTACTTATCGAGTTTTCAAATATTTGAGGCTCCTGTGCAATAGAAAATCCAAGATTTCCTCAAAATGTATAGATATCAATGATTCTTTTGAACATGTCAACTTTATCACTTAACTTCTAGATAACTATTTTTAAATCCTCCAAGATCGGCTGTAGAAGGATAAAAATCAGCTTAATTTTCCTTGCACATGTAACACTTGTCTACACTGTCCTTCACCTTGGATAAAAATAATAATGGATATATGTATGATAACTATTATCATATAATTTATATCCTTGGAGAGAATCTCGCGTCCATATAGCTTCTCTGCATACTTCATAAGTAAAATCTTGAAACCTCGTAAATTTCAATAGGTTTTAATTCTCTCCACGTTTTTTTTTTAAATAAAAAGTGTGATGTATTAACAAGGTATCAAGGGGATGTCACCCATGTACAAAAAATTTACAATTGTGTTAGAGTGCCAATGACATTCCCAAAATTCTCATCGCTAATAATATCATGTCCTAACAAGATAGACCCAAAATAATGAAACCATCTATTTTTCAACCTCTTATTCTTTACCTCTTTACTCTCAAAAGTCTTACTATTTCTTTCTTTCTATATAACTTAAAAAATAGTCAATTGAATCATCTTTACAAACTCTCTTTTTTTACATAACCCTTCCAAAGGCCAAATTTCCTTTTGACCGAACCCGTGGTAACCTAATTAATCCCCAAAAGACCATATATCACGTACTATATATGTTGTAAGACACCACAGAAGGATATGGTTGCAAGATTCTGCTGCATTCATACATAAGTACTTGTTGACCATAATCTCGTCTCTCTCCACATATTCTTATTGATCAAATTTTCTTATAAATCATCCCATATCTCATCCTCCTTAACTGAAACGTACACAATATAGGACGTAACTAAGAGAATACCACATCAAGTACTTTAGTAAAGATTTCTTGGAAAGAAAACTGGGAGTCCACTTGGATTGGGTGCTGCATGCTGACACCACAAGGTTCCTCATTGCACGAGGACGATGCAAGGATATTTGTCGAGCTAGATATCACCAAACCACTGTTATCTAAATTTCATATTGACCAACAAATATTCCGTTTTAAACAAGAAGGCTTACATCTAAATTTGTTTTTCCTGTGGGCATGCATGGCCATGGAGCAAAAAAAAATGTCAGCTTATTTTGTCTATTTC